TGGTAGCATAATGGCTAAAGCACTTGACTGCTAACCAGAAGGCTGGTGGTTCAAACCCACCAGCCACTCTGCGGAAGAAAGGTTGGGCAATCCTACTTCTGTAGTGATACTGCCTCGGAAACCCAAGGAGGGGTCACTATGAGTTGGGGCCGACTCTACGGCCCATAACAACAACAACAACAAATGGTGTGAGGGAGACCAGGCATGCTTCCCGTTAGCCTTCTGGAGCTCAGCCCTCCGGTCTCTACTCAGGGCATCAAGTGTGTTTATTTGACTTGCTTTGTGTCATACTCATTCCCTCCCCTCCCTCTCAGCTGCAAGTCATTTTCTTGTTTGGCATCCTGGTTTCTCTTTGCCTGAGGGGAGTCCCCTAGGAGAAGGGAAGCAGCTGCTTCTTCTTGTCTAGATCTGCATTTCATCCCTCTTTTGTGTTCTGGTGACACAGTGGTTAAAGAATTCAGTTGCTAACCAAAAGGTTGGTGGTTCAAACCTCCCAGCTGCTCTGTGGGAGAAAGATGTGCCGGTCTGCTTCTGTAAAGATTCCAGCTTGGGAAACCCTAAGGCAGTTCTTACTCTGTCCTAGAGGGTCACTATGAATTGGACTCAACTCAGTGGCAATGCATGTGGTTTCTGTTTTGTTTGTGCTCTGGGGTCTTCCTGGATCTATTTTTATTGAGGAATTTAGGAGTTTAGAAGGTCCCTGGGTGGCACAAGTGCTTAAGCACTCAAAGATTAAATGAAAGGTTGTAGATTTAAAGCCGCCCAGAGGTGCCTTGGAAGAAAGGCCTGGAGATTTCCTTCTGAAAAGATCACAGTCTTAAACCCTTTATGGAGTGCAGGCCTATTCTGTAACACATGGAGTCCCGACGAAGCCCAACTGACTCCACGGCAAGTGATTGGTTGGTTAGGAGTTTAGAAGTGGCCAGTGTGAAAGCTGGTTTTAGAGACTGTCATGATCATTTACTGCCCAGTCCTTGTCTTTGACCATGAAGTGCCTGTGGCTTCTGCTCTTTCTAGCTGGTGGGTCTCTGTTAGTCATTCTTCTACTGGCTCCAAGGAGCTCTGGTAGCACTGTGGTTAAAGCATTGCTGACCAGAATATCAGTATTTCGAACTCATGAATCGCAGGAGAAAGATAAGGCAGTCTGCTTCTGTAAGGATTTA